CGTAAAAAAAAAAGATTTTTATTTTATTTTTTTTCTTTTCTTTTCTTTTCTTTTTTTCATTAAATTAGTCAATCTTTTATAGACTATAAATTACGCTATAATATTGAGACTTTTTTTCCAAAAAAAATTTTTTTTGTTCGTCAGAATTTTCATTCGATAGAAACAAATAATAATAATAATACCTATCGAATAAGATGATTTCGGTAAGATACTTACGTGGTATCGTCGTGATTAGGAGTGAAAATAATAATGATAATAATAATAATAATAATTAATAAGAAAAATTTATAAATGACCTGATGGAAATAGAGTAATAATAGAGTTTTTTAAGAAGGATAAAAAAATTATTTATTTTTCATATAATATATATAAAATATATATATATATATATATATATATATATATATATATATATATATATATATGTGAAATAAAAGGTCAAAATACTGTAGCAACAAGTGTTTACACACTACATAGTCAAATGTATGCTACATTATCTACATTATTATTATTATTATTATTTTATAAATTTTTACCTCCCTAGTAAAATATAATTCAATTTCAATTTAAAAGCTTTTATAATCCGATTTCAATTCCCGAAAAAACTTCTCTCCATTTTCTCTCCATTTAATTTTTTTTTTTTTTGTTATATAAAAAAAAAAAAAAAGTTTATAAAATTACGTTTCTAAAAACAAAAAAAAAAAAAGGGTTTCTCCCTCTTCCTCCTCTCCTCCTTCCCCTTCCCTGAATTTTGCTTTTATTTTAACCTCCGAAAATAAAAATAAAAAAATCTATCAATTATTAAATGACGTGAAATTTTATTAAATTTTGTTTTTTTTTAAATTGTTCTCTCTCTCTCACTCTCTCTCTCTCTCTCTTAATTAATTTCGTTATTTTTTTTAATAATTTTATAAAAAGAAAAAAAAATTACGTATTTAATAAATGTACGAACGAACGAAAGTACTACTTAAATTATTACGTAAGTAATTTTTTTTTTTTTTTTCGTATCATAAAATGCTTTTACCAAATGCCTTGCTTTTTTTTCTTGCTATGATGTAATAAAATAAATTATTAATAAAATGTAGGAAAAATCGTCGTCGCGGTGGTAGTACAATAATAATACAATTACAAAACTATATTTTTTTATACCTGGACGTATCACGTGATAAAAGGGGAAAAAAACGGGTTATTGTTACACGTTCGTGGCAAGCAATGAGTTACGCATGAAAACCCAGCATCCTAACCTTTTAAATATAATCATCATCATCATCATCATCTGGCTCCTGTCCAGTTGAGAAAAGAAAAAAAAATCTTTTCCTTCAAATTTCTTTTTTTTTTTACAATTTCAGCAATTTTACCAAACTAAAAACAGGCGAACAAAAATATAAAAAAAATTACCAAAAACACATAAAAGAAAAACAGGTACGAAATTCAAAAAAAAAAAAACAATTTTATGAAAAAAAGCATCATCGTCTGCAATATTTTTTTTTTTTTTTTTCAAATGAAAAGCAAAAGGATAAAAATGTGGAAAGGAATGTAAAAGGAAACAAAAAAATAAACAAAGGAAATTTTTTTTTTTTATCACAACAATTAAAAATTTTGTTTTAATGTTATCATCATCATAAAGTACGTCATAATTTATTACGTCAAATTCATCACGATAGATAAAGTCATGATAATAATAATAATGATAAATTATTCGCATTTAATTTCTTTATTTTATGTATATTTATATATAAATGACGTCACATACCTAATAATTAACTCTCATTCATTCGTTTAAAAAATTTTTTTCATCGTAATCATCATCATCATCATCATCGTGATAATAATAGTAATAATTAACGTCATCATCAACGTCATTCTCGAATCATTATCATTATCTCCTTTCACTCTTACTTTGCTAATTTAAAAAAAGAAAAAACCGTTACGTCACTTATATATAAACTTTTACAGTTTTTATTCCAAGAGTTTTATAATAATAATGATGATGAAAGTGAGGGGGGGATAAAAAGAGGGAAATTTTTTGGTAACGATTCGAAAACCGATGAAAAATAACAAACTTTTTTTTTTTTTTTTGATAAATGACGCTTAACAAATGAAATCAATAATTCAATGATAGTAGAAACAAAAACAAAAAATGTTCGGCCATGTTTTTTTTTTTTTTTTTATCACGGAGAGAAAATAAATAAAAAGAGAAAAATGTACGTATGAGGGTTGCGATGGTTAAAACAGGGGGGGAAGAGGAGGTGAGAGTAGGGAAGGAGGAACAAATGTTGGGGGGACGAGTAGTAAAAAGAGTGAAAGGTTTTTGTTTTTAAAAATGACGGCGGCGGCGGCGGGGTCGTGTGAGGTTTTTTTTTTATTTTATTTGGGGGAGAGAAAAATTTTTTTTTTATTATTGACGTTGAACTTTCATAAAAATATTTATTAATAAAATATCATGAATATTTATGTAAATAAATAATAATAAAATCAATATATCGAAAAATTTATTTTTTATTTTATTTTATTTTTTTATTTTTCATTATTATTATTATTACCCTTCCCATTAAAAATTGATTACGATGTCATTTATTTATAATAAATTAAAATGTTTTAATTTATTATTATCATTATTATTATTATTATTATTAATATGGTTTCGCGATGAGGAAAATTTTCAATGCGAACGGAAAAAAACGAACCGGTGAAAATAAATGAATGAATGAATGAATGAATTTCAAATTAATAAAAAGAAAAAAAATTATTAATAAATAATAAAAGTTGCAAAAGTAAATTTTAATAAAAAGCAAAAAAAAAAAAGAAACAACCAAACAGACAAACAAACAACAAACAAACGAAAAAAAACTAATTAGAAAATCGTTTCGAAACAACAACAACAACAAAAATTTTTTATCGTTAACAAAAATGAAAAAAAAAAAAAAAAAATTTGTAATAATTATCATTATTATTATTATTTTCTTTTCCTCGCGAGCTACGCATCCTCCACCTCCTCCCTCTCCTCCCATTCTTACCCACCGACCCTTCCCCGAAAATCGTTCATTTATTAAAAGCCAAATTGGTTTTTTTTTTTTTTTTGATCATTTGAAGGTAATTTTGTCGTTTACCACTAGAAAGGAAAAAAGGAAAAAAGGAAAAAAAAGGTAGAAAGAGGTTAATAACCTTTTTTTTTGATAAAAGAAAATTTCAAATAATTTTTTTTTTTTTTTATTGAAAAATCCACAGAAAACCGATTTTTAACGATTTTTGTTACCGTAATTTATAGCAAATTAAGTTTTTCTTTTTTTTTTTATTTCTTTGTGGTTTGTTACTATTATTATTATTATTATTATTATTATTATTATTATTATTACTATTTTCACTTCTACTTTTATTTTTTATATTCCTGATAATAATTTTCATTATTATTATCTGATTATGTTAATAATCGACGAATGATTTATTTTTATTTTCATCTACTTATCACGTTTAAATAAAAATAAATAAATATTTGCTATCGTTAATGATATGGTTTATTATACTAATAATTAACTTATTAAAAAATTGTTTGTTTAAACAAACAAACAAACAAACAAACAAGCCAACGCAAAACTTTTCGTAATTTTTTTTGGTTTTGTTAATTCGTTTTATTTTTTATTATATTATTAAATCAATTAAAGCGTAGCAAATAGTAATAATAATAATAATTTTAAAAAATTAAACCGGAAGTTAATTAAAAATCAAAATTGTTCGTCGTCGAATCGTATAAAAACTTTTTTTCTTTTTTTCTTTTTTTTTTTTGGACATAAATCATTCGCGGACAAACAGCAAACGTGGAAAACAAACAAACACGATGTGTTTGCTTTCGAATGTAAAAAAAAAAAAAAAAAAAATTTCCGACCCGAAATTGTCATTGACCAAATGTAAAACATTCGTCAACAATATCTCAACACCCTCCGCAATATTGAAATCAGATAATTTCAATATGATGTATTGACTAGATAACAAACCAACAAAAAAAAAAAAAAAACAATTATAAATTATTTGTTTGCACGCTCACGTAAACACCACGACAACGACAACAACAACAACCACAACAAACTTTTTTTTTTTTTTTGGAAATATTTAAAAAAAAAAAAAAAGTTTCAAATTAGGTTAATTGCTTTATTCCATCTATCGAATTATTGAAAAAAAAAAAAAATTGAATGGAAACAGGAAATTAATTAAAAAAAAATGAAAACAGGGCGAGAAAAAGGAAAGGAGAAAAAAAAAATTGAAAATGAAAACAGGATGTGACGTAATAATCAAATGAAAAATAATAAAAATAATTATATCATTTTGCACACACACAAAAAAAGGTTTACAATATTTTAATTACGTTTAATTTTTAATCGGTTAAATTTTTTTTTCGATTTATACGAAGTGTGTGTGTGTGTGTGTGTGTGGCGACGTGGATGCAGATGAAAAAAAAAGGAAAAGGAGAAGGGAAAGGGGAAAGAGGGGGAGGCGAAAAAATGTCTCATTTAAAAAAAAAATATTAAAAATTTTATTATGTTAAAACGTTTGGTCAAATGTTTGGTAATAAGGTTGTTGTGATCTGGTTTTAAACGCTTATGAATTGAAAACGGCTTTAATCCCCGCCCCCCGCTCCCTCCCTCCTCCTTAACAAACACATCTTTCTCCCCCCCTAACTGGATCTCTTCATTTAATCCTTTAAACAATGTTTCCGGGGATTCACTTTTAACTCGATTTTGATCTCTTCTCATCGTTTCGAAAATGATTTTTTTAAAAATATTTTTAATTACTTTTTTTTTTTATTTCGGGGGAGAGTGGGAGGGATTGAAGGGGAGGGGAAAACAAGGAAAAGGTACGTTTACGGGAAAAAAAAAAGAAAAAAAAATATTTATTATTCACAATTGATTTATTTAACGGAAGCATTCTTAGATTCGTACAAAAAAAAAATAAAAATAAAGTTAATAAAATTATTTATTTATTAATTTATTGATTTATTAATGGTTTCAATAGTTCGAAATGACCATTTTCGGGATTTCCCAATAATTGTAAATATATCGTATGACTATACCTTCTCCTAGATATAACTATGGGTTTGGATTCGGGTTTAATTATTTTCGACGAACTCCTCTCTTGAAGGTAAATGACGACATTTTTTTGCAATACTTCGGACAGTGCAAAACATTCAACGGACGTTCCATAAGTTCCGTAAGTTTCCATTTCTCGACAATACCTGTCTTCGTCTCTCAGTCTTTCTCTATCAATGACCAAATGATTTTTAACGTCTTTCCAATGTTCACGTAGATACGCCACTGCTTTGTACCTCAAAAGCATGTGATGATCTTGAGTGCCGTATAAATACAAACTAATCGCTCGAAACAAACAATTACCATCACCTATTATCGGATGCCTTTCGAACAAATCTTCCATCATTTCCGAAAAACAAAGTTTAAATTTTTAAAATTATTATGATTTATTCTATTTCCGGTTCCGATGATTTTTCTTACTCCATGAAATCCGTCATTTCAATTTATAAACAAGTTTTATAATAATAATAATAATAAAAATAAAAATGGCATTAATCGAAAATCATTTTTTTTCAATTATTATTATTAATAATAATAGACATTAATACATCGTCGAATTAACGTATAAAAAAAATCTGTTTATTGATTTTATTTATTAATTATTTTACGAAAATTTTATTTTTTCTTATTTTTGAATAATTATAATAATAATAATAATAATAATAATAATAATAACAACGACGCGGGAACTTTTGTTTACGGTAAGCGTAAATATAAATTTGAATTTACCTTATTTATTATTATCAGTTATTAATTATCGATTATTAATAATTGGTTACGTCACGTAAATCAATCGGAAAAATTTATCCGTCGCATGAATTTATGTAAAATCGAATTTAATAATAATTTAATGAGTGATAAAAAAATAAATATATGTAAATAAAAAAACTCCATTTTGAAATTACACTTCCGGTTCGTTTTTTTTTTTTTTTTTTTTTTAATATTCCTTTCGTAATAATAATAATAATAACGGTAGTAATAGCGATGATAACTGTTACAGAAAAAAAAGTTATTGAAAATGTTTTGTGTGAGCGTACACGCGCACGCACACGCACGCACATACGTGTCGGTAAAAATATTATTATTACGGCTACCGTTAGTAATAATAATAATATTAATTTTATGTAAAATTAAAATTTTCTAGAAACCCTGTAAAGTATTTTAAATATTCATAAGAATCATAAAATTTATTATTATTATTATTATTTTTTTTTATTAGTGACGAAAACGACATTTTTTTTTTGTTTGATTCGAGTCAAAGTAAAAATTTAAATTAAGTTATAACCGTGTTGTAAAAAAAAAGACTTCCTTTTTTTATAGTTTGTGTTGTAGCTTTGCTACTATAAAGTACTATAATATAAAATCGTGTAAAATAAATTTTTTTTTTTTTGATAGTCTGTAGCATCGGGATTGAATTTATTTATTTATTTATTTACGTCACAATGATAAAATTAATTTTTATTAAATTCTCTTCCTCGAAAAAAAAAAAAAAAAAAAAAAACAGGAAACGTTTTAATTTTTCGAAAACCATCGTTGAATGAATTCGACCGAGGAAAGGAAGGAGGATGAGAGAGGTGGTGGTAGACAAAAAAGGAGGTGGTGGTGGATGGGTGGGAGTCGGGTGAAGAGTAAACGGGGATCAGGAGAAGGGTGGGTGGAGACCAGGCGAAGGGGTAGGCGGGGTGATGATTTTTCGGTCATTTTAGGTACCCTAAACAATTTTCGTTCATTTTTATATCATAATTTTTTTTTTTTTTATAAATAATTTTTTGTTGTTAACAACTTAACCGGAAATAATTAAAGCGTTAAAACGGAAATATTTGCGATTAAAAAATTTAAAAAAAAAAAAGCGCCATTTTTTTAAATTAATTACATTTGGATCGATCGCGGCTAAAAATGTTACTTTTTTTTATATATATTTTTTTTATTTATTTATGAATTTTACTAAAATTTTTTATTTTTTATTTTCCCTCCCCCCAACATTTTTCCATCATTTTTTAATTTTCCCATCGCACTCATTTTCATATCCTCCCTAAATTAAATTGAAAAAAAGGAAAGGGAAGGGGGAGCTCTTTATAACATCCAAAAAAAAAAAAAAACAATTTGAATAAAGTTAATTTAAACGAACTTTAAATAAATAAATAAAAATTAATGAATAAAACATTTTCTTTCGAGTTTTTTTTTTTTTTTTTTTCAAAAAAACAGTTTACGAATTATTCTCGTATTAAAAATCATTTTTGAAAATAAATATATAAATAAATAAAATCTTATTAAATAAAAATCACGGACCGAAAATAAATAAATAAAAGCCTATTGACCAAAGAGTCAAAGTGAATGTTAAATTGTGTTAAACAATTTTCAAAAAAATAAAAACTTTTGTTTTCGAACGAAGTTCCTGCTCTTCCATCTCTCTCTCTTTCTCTCTCTCTTTCTTTTTTGTTATATACTTTTCCCTGAGATCGAGTCGGGGGGATTTAAAGATTTAATTACTCATTTGGCTATTTATTTGAAAAAATTAACATTGGGAAAGAACCAAAGAGAGAAAGAGAAAGAGAGAGACGAAAGAAAAACGAACGTTAAAATTTTAAGTTTTAAGGTTTTGCTACCCCTACCCCCCACTCTCCCCCCGTTTTTTTGTTTAATTTTTTTTTTTTTCGTGGTTCACGCGAGATTAAAAAAAATGACAGAAATTTAAAGAGAGAGAAAGAGAGAGAGAGAATAACTCTGTTTGTGTTTTATATATATTAAATTTTTTTTCCTTTTTTTTTCTGTTTATTATTTAATTCTATTTTAAATTTTATTCTCAGTTTTAAATTTTCCCTCCATTTTTTTTTCCAACCCCGCATCCCCTCCTCTTTCCCTTTCCGCCATTTTTTATTCCACAGTTTTTTAATTTTAATCTTCTCTTATTTTTTTTTTTTTTAATTTAATTAGTTAAAAAAGTTTTAATCTGAAAACCTGCTTATTCAGAAAAATTTTATAGTTTGCGTTTTCACTTTATTTGCACACTCTAATAAGTTAGTTATCTTTCACAAATTTTCTCTTTTTCGCTCTCTCACTCTCTGCATCTCTCTCTCTCTCTCTCTCTCTTAATCCCTTTCACCCACTTTTTTTTTATTACGAGTTAAAATTTTTACTGCTTTTAACAGTTTTTTTTTTTTCAAACGTCATTGATTATACAAACTTTTTTTATTACTTTTTTTTTGCACTCTCGATCGCTGTCGTTGTTGTTGCTGTTGTTGCTGTCGTTTGTTTTGCTGCAACGTTAAAATAAATAAATAAATTCATACATAAAGGATTACATTATCCGATTGTACACGTTTTATAATTTGAAGCCGTTAAAAAAAAAAAGCCTTTTATAAAATATAAATTTTACAAGCTGTTGCGTGTGTGCGTGCATGTGCGTAAATGTGTTAAGAAGAAAAACCTTTCGAGGTTTTGAAAAACTTATGTTAAGACTTTTTTTTTTTAAAGAAAACATTTTCAAAACTTTTACAAAGAAAATCTTAATTCGATATATTTAATTAATTTCTTTAGTTTTTTTTCTGGTTGTTGTGTTGTTTGTTGTTGTTGTTGTTGTTTTGGCTTTATCGAGGACCTTAAAAAATTTTTTTTTGCGTTTGCCATACAAAAAAAAAAAATTATAAACAAAAAAATTTTGAAATTTTTAAATAAAAACGTCACCCAGTCACCAAATTTATTTCTAGAACGTTCGATCAAATGAAATTATCTCATTTTGAACTGTGAAATTAGTTAACGTGGCATTAGAAGGATTTGATTTTATCGTAATTTTTATATTAGACATGAATCATTATAAAATTTTGACTTTAAGAAGAAAAAAAAAAAAAAAGTTTTTTTACGATTGCGGCGGTAGTATCGGCGATATTCGCAAAAAAAAAAAATGGCGGACGCCGCGATGACAAACAATATCGTTAAATCTGAAATTTTTCATTAAAAAAAAAGGGGGGGAGAGAGAGAGAAGAAGAAAAGTATTTCCTAGTTTTTTATTTGAAAATTTTCTTTTTATTCCTACGTAACTGACATTATCGGATTTAAATAATAATAATAATATTATTATTATTATCGTTATCGTTAATTACGACATTGATAACGTCGATTGATATGCATCTTGATTGCGTGAGATTTTTTTTTTCATTTTTTTTTTTTTATAAAAAAAAAACTTTTAAATTAAAGTTATGAAAAATTATTATTATTATTAGAAAAAGGAAATCTCGTTTTTCCTTTTTTCCTTCTTTTTTTTCCTTTTGTTGTTGTTGCTTGTTTCCTTTTTAATTATCATCGATAAAATGAAAAAAAAAAAAAAAAAAAAAAACGGCACGAACGGAAAAAAGAGAGAATGAGAAAGAAAAAATAACAGCAGAAGAAGAAGAAAATTTTTATTTTTATTTTTTTTGGAATTAATTAAGTCAAAGTTTTTTTTTTTTTGTTTAAATAATAATATTTTCCGATGGTATTTTTATTCATTCATTTCCGGTTTTTCACTGTTTTTCTAAAAAAAAAAAAAAAATATTCACATTTATTAAAAACACGAAAACATTTTTTTTTTTTTTGCGAATTAATTAACGTTCCGACATTTTTAAATATAAAATTTTTTTTTTTTGTTTTTCACATAACGTTGGCGATAAAAACGTCGGCGGTTTTCCAACGGTGGCGGTAAAAACGGTGGCGGTAAAAACGACGACGGTCGGTATTAAAGGAAATAAACTTTGACCGAAAAGAAAGGAAAGAAAAAAAAATATATATATAATATATATATATATATATATATATATATATGAAAGTTATAAAAGGTTAAAGGTTTGATGTAAAACGTAATAAGAATTCTTTTTTAAAAAAAAAAAAAATTATTATTAGAAAATTCCAATCTTGAAATTCTTCGAGCAAAAAAAATAAAAAAAGGTTAAATTATTATTATTATTTTTTTTAGTTGAAAAATAAATCAGGATTTTTTTTTTTTGTAAGGAAAAATCGTGTAGGATGAAAAAAGCGTAATCGTGGAGAAGAGTCAAGAAGGAGAAGCAAAAAAAATTTTATCAATTGTTCAAAAGTTTAAAAAAGAAAACAAACAAACGAACAAACAAACAAACGGGGGAAAAACAAAAAAAAAATTAAAAATTTATAGTTTGATCCATATATAAATATACTTACGCATGATTTGCAACAGCCCATTTTTTTTTTTTTTAAATTCGATAGATTTTTGTTTTCGTTTTTTTTTTTTTT